GATAAGTTTATTTGTAAATATCGATCGATCACGCTTTATCACGCTGTTTCTTTATCGATAAATACGATAAATCGGCGAATATTCGGAAATTCGAATAGAATTATAAGATGTGGCCACGATCTGTGACACCAACTTAATTATAGGTGGTAGGAGGTAGCTTAAATCGAGCGTGTACAGTTTCTGGCCACTTGCCGGACTTCGGGAACGCTGAGAAGTGCATCAAGGTGAGCACGACGATCGACGATTAACGTGCATCTGATTAACTCGTTCCTACGTGGAAAGCTTCCGTTCTTCCTTCGAGAACGTATAAATATATATATATACTTAACAGTGACTAAAGCGCGTTCAAGGAGACGCGTTCGTGTCTCGCGGCTAACCTCTTTGTCCGCGTTCAACAACCGTGGCGGATTACACGTAGGATCGCTCCATTTTTCCATTTTACGAATCGAGTACAACTGTTTTTAATCCTCTTAAGACGATTCCGTTAATCACTCCGTGGAAAACACGAGAGATTGAACAGCCTCTCTTTTCACACGCGATTCATAACGAGAGATTTCGAGATTAAATCGGTCGAAATAAATGGGAAACATCGAAGAAGTTTGATGTTTCGAGAGTTAGATCGAGATGGACTGGACGAGCAGGTACCGTTATTACCTGTTCCCAGAACAGTCTCCAATTTTATCTCTCCGTTCCTGCACACTGGTCAGGAAGAGGAGGAAGAAGACTCCGATCCTCTCTTCCTCGCGTCCCATCTCCCTTTCGACCACCTTTTCTCTCTCTTTTTCTCTCTTTCTCTCTCGCTCTCTCGCTGCCTGCCTCCCCCTCTCGCGAAATTTCAGGTTCGTTAACCCCTGAAAACGAGTCGTTTCCAGGGAAATATTTTTTTTTTTTTTTTTTTTCGTTAACACCTTTCGAGTTGGAAACCTCTCCTCGAGATCCTCTCCGAGATTCGAGATACAAGAAAAAAAAAAAAGGAGAGGACGGATTTCTTAGTAGAAATACCAGAGGAATATCAGTTGGAACGAAACGAAAGTCGAAACCTTACGCCGAACGTTCCGAAAGCAGCGTTAACGAGGGGCTTAGTTATTCGAAGGATACACCGTGTCGTGAAATCACGGACGCGGTTATCAAGGTCATGCTCCATTCGAGGTCGAGACGCGGTTAAATTAATTTCCAATCGAGTGCGATGGCAATGAGAATACTGAGAGAGAGAGAGAGAGAGAGAGAGAGAGAGAGAGAGAGAGAGAGAGAGAGAGAGAGAGGGAGAGAGGTGGATGGAGGGCGTACGCCGATACGATTCCAAAACGTGCGCGCCAGAGATCGTTGTCCTCGTTCGAAGGTGCATGGATGCGCGCGCGCTCATCCGACTCCTACCAGCGAAAAGCCACCTGCCGCATACCTTTAGCTTCGTGGCCGGAGGCGGCAGCCTCTCTCTCAGAGGAGAGAGAGAGAGAGGGAGAGAGAGAGAGAGAGAGGGGGGGAGAGCAGAGGCTGATTCGCGAAAAAAAGATTCGCTTTCGCGAAAGTACGAACGAGGCCTTTTCGTTTCGTCGTCGTCTTATGAAAACGTGAGCGCTTAGCTTAGCGAGAAAGAGGAACGAGAGATAACGAGATGCGGTACCTCGATCTAGAAGGTAGCTCGAAGGTAAAGGAAGAAGTGAAATCGTATGAAATTTGAATCACGTGTATATCGCTTTATTAGAAATATCTACCGTTAGATGCGATTAGAGATTTCTGACAAGTAATTTCAAGCAACATTTTTCCGTGATCGAATATTATATCCACTCATTTATATATTTTTGCTACTGCATTTTTAAAACTTTCCCCTCGATAAAAATTATACATATCGTATCCGTTGGATTTTAAAGACATCGTATCATCGTGTTGTTACCTAATCCGACATATTATTTTCTAATAATTTTTCAACTTCTCGATCGACGTACAAACGATCATAGATATTTGATCATCGGAGGAGTTTTGATTTGCGAACGAAAGGATTAATCCTATCTTCCTGCGTCGAGTAGCCTTTTTTCCCAATTGAGAAGAATTGGGAGCAGAAAACTGAGAATTAAAAGGAAGTGGATAGGGCAAGAAACGTAACGCCACGGAGGAATTCTTGGCACGCGACGCCTATGCACCGTTGCTCGAGGAGCGGTTCGCAGCCCGTTCCACGCGACTCCAGCCTGGGCTCCGGAATCGGTAATTGCTAAGCGAGCTGTGATCGGCCTGGTTACGCGCCCGATTTCGGCACGAAAACCGTTTTTCCTCGGCCTCGTCCACTTTCGACCTCCGCGAATAATGGCTCGCTCGGTCCCCTCGGTAAACGCTTCCCTGCATTATTACGTAAAAGTTAACCGCACACGCGATGACGATTACGCGGCGAGAATAACGTCGTGATTTCATCGTTCACCGTCGTCACACGAAACATTGGCAATCCATTATTTTCGAACCTTTTAACGAAGATGATACAATAAGATCAATGGAACGTATAATAATTTTAAACGAGTAAAAAAAAATATTTTAATCTATTGATCCGAAAAATGCTTAAAAATTACGTAATTGCAATAACTCGAGAGTAATCGATCAACGATTTATAAATGAGACGCAAATAAAAAAACTTGTAACTTTATTGTAAAACTCTATTGTAAATGGTCCACGAAGTTGGAGAAACGTTGAATCGACTAGGAAACGAGTCTCGTAATGATCGGCCTCGCGGCAAGCGAAATCACAGGCGCGCGCGCGCACGCGCGTCGTGCCAGCAACCCAGATCTTCGCGCGCAATGGAGATATACCGTTAAAACGAACAGAGGCCCGTAACTCCCGTTCGACGAATCGTCGTTTTGCCAGCAATTCCCCTCCCTCTCCTCCTCTCGACCACGAGAAGAAATCGCGAAAGGAAATGCGGATCGAGGAACCGAGCCTTGAAAAGGATAACGAAGGATAAACGAACAAGAGTCGAATTGGAAGACGACCGACCGATCGCTCGCGGTGAAAGCTACGTGCTTTTTTCCACCGTTTCTTTCAATAATAATTGTCGCGATCGCTCTTCCTCGCGTGCTTCAAATTGCTTCGCGGACAAACGTGTGAAACGTAAGAGAATGAGATCGTAAGATGGGTGACGTTGAATCGATGAAAAAGGATATTCGATCGTGGTACACTGATACCGTTCATTAAACTCGGTTATAAACGACTTCCCGTGTGTTTCTTGCCTTGTGCGTACATAGAACGCGAACGGTTCCACGAGCGAAAGTAATTTTAGCGGGAAGTTATCGCGAGTAATAGGGTGGCAGGAGGAGCGGTTTTTTGTCGTATTACGTCTTTCCTTGTTTTTCGAATCGAGAGCAACGAGGATGGACATAGCATCGTGAGTTCGTGCGCTCTGACGAAATCGTTACGTGCCGCGTCTACACTAAAACCGTTCGCGAGCAGAATTATTCGCAATAAAGATAAAGTTGAAACGTACGAGCTCGTACGTATGATATATCATCTCTCGAACGAGAGATTATTCGTTGTTCAGAAGACGGGCAAAATTTTAATCGCGATCAAAGTTAAATTACAAAATAAAGAAAGTAACTTTATCCGAAATTTCATCCGATCGATTTTTCAACATTGCTCCACCGTGTGTGCGATCCAGTGGCACGCAGTTGGGCCAAATGTTCAAGCGTTTCGCGAGCTTGAACTCGAAAGGATCGAAAAGAGAAGATCACGCGATTCGCGGCGAATAATTTCCCTTTCGACGCGTGGCACACCGAGTTTTGAAACGCGAGCGAAAAAAAAGGAACGGTTGTTCTCGCCTCTGAATCAGCGATCCTGATAAACGGCGACGGCGCAACATTCTCACGGCCGTCGAGCCGCTTTCGAGCCTCCTCCATCCTCGTGCATCGTCTCGGCGCGCATTGTTCCGCCGCAGTTTTTTGCATAATTCCACTTCCGACATTCCGCGGCGTTGCAGGCCGCGTGGCCATCGAGCGGCACGGTTCCACCGGCGAAAGTGGCTTCGATGGCGAATAATCGACAACTACGAGCGCAAGGTGGGTAAGGATAGTGGGATAGGCGAGGGAGAAGAGACGGTGGATGGCCGTGTTGGCGCGCAACGATGGGTCTGTTTGCGGTTTTGCAAAACGGGCCAGTGGTATGTCGGACACGTCTGACAGGATTACCCGCAATATCGGTGAGAATGGAATCGACGTAACTCGAGTGTCGCCGCGATAATCCCACCGCTTCTGGGATACGAGGGAAGTAGGAGCGTTTCTCCATTCTCCCCGTTCTCTTTCCAACTTGTTTCTCGTACTTCTCCGTTCTTCTCTGCCCGACGCGACGCTCCGAGCGAGACTAGACGGGGAGAGGAAGAGGAGAGCGAGCTTCTGTGCACTTGCTTTTCGTTCCTTATGGGGAAACTCCATACGAGGATAATATGGAACGTTGTACGTAGTATATCTCGAGTAAGACAGACGACAGAATTTGTCTCCAAGTTCGAACAGGTGTCGTGTACGATTGGGAGTTGCTAGATCGACTTGGCTAGAATACCGCGGGCAAGAATCTCGTTGGTTCGATCTCGGGCATTGGTAGGGCGCTGGAAATGGGATTCGATTTATCCTCTCGAATCTTTTTCGAAAAATCTTTTCAAAAATCGATCGTTTACCACCGTATCCCCTCCCTTGACTCTCGATGCAACGTCGATCAAACTTCTTAAGCCTCTTTAAACGCGAAGGAGGGGGACAAGTGATTGAATCGGAGGAGGCCGATGGACAGGTCCGACGAAATCGGTGGAGAAGCGATGGGAGGGGGGACTCGAACGGGCGCTCTCCGCTCGCGGGTAAAGGAGGTTGAGCGGGACGGAGAGGGAGGGAGGGAAGGAGGGAGAGAGAGAGAGAGAAAGAGATAGGGAGGGAGGGAGATGGAGAGAGGCGGAGAGAAAGGTGGACAGAGACAGGAGACGGTGTTTGTAATCAAAGGGGCGATTCGCGGTGCGGCGTGGAAGAAAGTCAGCCTACCGAACAGCCAGTCCGGCACGGCGCGTTGTCCCGAATGCACGTCGAACCATCGATTTCCGCGTGTGCTGCCCACGTGATCGAGCTCCATCTCGCAACACGACACCTCTCCCCGACTCGGCCGTGCCTCGGCCGTTGCTGGTGTGCTGGTGCCCGGGTGGTGGTGTTGGGTCTCGGTCCCGCTCGTTCACGGATTCGAGCCGCGCCATCCATCCACGACCAACGAGTTTCGTCTTCCCGCTCGAGCAGGGAACCACCGATCCACGCCGAATTATTGATCTCATTTAATCTATCGCGGTATTGGATTTTCAAGAAATTCGGTGAGAAAGAAGGCGGATTGGACGTTAGCCTGGCGACCAGAGAAAGAGAGGGAGAGAGAAAGAGAGAGAGGAAGAAGGTTGGAGGATCACGTGGTCGGGGAATACTACGGTGTATCGGCGGATAGACCGCAGAGGGCAGAGACACGAGGCCGGTTTTTCACCGCGATATCTCTCCTCCAGGGATGAAAATTAGCGACGAATGAATGGTAAGTAATGGATCGGGCGCGAGGAATAAAATCCTGGGTATGGGTGCCTTCATCGGACGATTGGAAATCCGTTTCTTCGCGATATCTTTCGAGTTTCGAAGATCGTTTCGCGATTACCGCGCAAGGTCGAGTGGACGAGCGTATGACGGGGAGATAAGGCGAGTTGACGTGGTCGGTTTATATTATAAACGGGACGTTGTCCATAACGGAGAAGAGCATCCCGAGTAGCATATTGAACCGGACGCTTTTCTATCTATCGCGAAAACCGCGAATGCTTTTAATCCCTTTAACGAGACGACACTTGGACGGCTTCGAATGTGAACGTCACTCTGATATGAAATCGAGGCAGCTTATCGCGAGATACCGCGTTTCTCGCGTTCTCGCGAGCATAACAGTCCTTGACGATCTTTCAGAGGTCGCGATTAAAAGCGAGAGAAAAATATCGCGTAACGCGTGTTTCTCATCTCTCTCTCTCTCTCTCTCTCTCGATGATCGATTCATCGACTTCCCCCCACGACTGGAGTAAAAGGCTACCATAGATATTACCAGACGACGTTTCCTCCGTTCGACAAGAAATCTCTCCTTCGAAACCAGTTTTCAGATAGCGGGGCCTTTGAAAGCTTGATGGCATTTGACATTTTTTTTTTCCTTTTTCCTTTTTTTTTTTTTTTCCTCCTCTCTCGGAGCGGATTTTCTTCGCCGCCAGGTGTATTATTCGAGTATGGACGAGTTATTACCCGATGCTCGTGAAAGTTTTCGAGTCCGCGCCACTCTTGCCAAACGAGACTATCGTGCACACGCGCCACGATCCCTTTACCGCGAAACTTTGCCGCTTCTTGCTTCGACTTTTATATTCCATTTCGCCGTTACGCAACGTGTTTCCGTGTTTCTAGAAGCCGCGTTTCCAGAACAGGGATCGGCACGGCTCACTTTTCCACCGGCGATTATTTATTTCGTTCGTAAGACAATCGCGCGAGCCTTTTAAAGTATCGAGGATGGAAACGATAGGGTCGGATCCAGGTTCTCGATGCGTAGGCCACGTATTTCGAAGGTGATGCGGCATCGTAAAGGTCGCGATTTGAATTGAACGACTCTTGAAAGTTCAAACGATAATGGGGGACAATGGTTAATGACTCGATTGGAAACTAGATAGATAAAAGGCACGAAGCCAGCGTGGAGGACGACCAGTTTAAAAAGGCGAAAATAACACTTTTACTTTTTTAATTTCGAATTTCAAACGCTCGATCGAATCGATCCATGGATCCATCGTTGTTTTGCGGAAAAAAAAAAGAAAAATGGGACGAACGAATATCATTAATTATTCAGAGGAAAAAGAAGAAAAAGAAGAAACGGGAAAAATGTAAAAGGAGGTTTTCCCCCTCCTCTCGGTGAAACGAATGCAGATGGATTTAAGTTAATGAATGGAACACGCTGTCAAAATCCGTGAAGCGTGACGGAGAACGTGATTGCGTAATTCTGCCGCGTTGTAGCATCGTTCACGGGTGGGAAAATGAAGAGTTCGAAAGGGTTACGAGCCTCCCCATTTACTCCATTTAACTCGAGTGTAAACATTTCCGCCCGGAACGATCCGATACTTCCGAACGTTAACGTCGATTCTTGCGAGAATCGCTCGTCGACGCGCCTCGATTTTTTCCCCTATCTATCTAATCGCGCCTCTGATCGTTGATTTCCGTTCATATCGCGTAATTCTTAAGTAATTATCGTAAAAAAATTTTTACACGCGATTTTATCGTGTAAATTTGTTCAACTTTGAATTTTCTGATTTACTGGCGAAACGACATTCTTTTTTCTTCTTCCTTTTCAGGGGAAGTTTTTTCATTGAAATTGTTTTCCTTCTTCTACGTGAGAAACGTGAAAAAAATGTTTTCTTTCAAAGAAAATTACTCCATGCGCAATCCATTATGCTCTACATATGCTCGCAAATCTTCATTAATTAAGAAGTGTATCATATCATCGTATAACATCAAGAGTAATATAATATTTTATACGCAATAAGTGTGATCGCAATCTAACGTTACAATATTTCTTAAATATTGGCCGCGTGTGTGTGCGCACACGTTGGATAATAAAACGAATATTTATATATATATATATATATATATGTATATTACATCGTACTATAGGCATAAATTTAAAAGTTACAAATTTAGAATGTTCTGCATACCGATATTATATCATAGAAAAATCTCTCGTGACTTTCTATCTTTATTCATACAGACATTCTCACTCGTTTCTTTTACTTCAACATTCCTTTACATTCCGAATCAAAAATATATATAACGGATGATAAAATTTTTTATTCATAGAAAAAAACTATAATATATATATATATATATAAAAATACGATACACCCGTATATTCCGTTATATTATGAATTATTGAAGTCAAAATTATAATTGGTTTCGAAAATTTTTTTTTTTTTTTCTAACCGACTGTAGGTAATAAATCCACGATATTTCGTTATTCCGTTACTTGGTTCGGTCGGATCCCGGCGATAACAGAATTTAACGGAATTTACGCGCGGAAGGATCGATCGGTGAAAGATAAGGTAAAAGACAGTGTCGCATTAAGTAGAATGTGGGCTGTCCGAGAGAGGAATGGAGACGAGTTGTAGGTCAGTTTCGAGCGGTTTATTAATTCGGAGCAGGTTTAACTGTCCCGGTTGTTTGACAAACCGATTACTCGCTCGTAATCGAGCCGTGCATTTATTAGGATGCGGTACAGTTTCGGGTGTCGAGGCGACGACGAGCAGTTAGAGGGTTCCTTCGTTGGGGGAGGGAGGGGAGGGGGAGAGGCGACCGCCATTACGTGCCAATTTCCTCTGGCAAAGCCTTTTGCCTCGCTCGTAAACGTTTCTACGCTTTCGATTCGCTCGCCGAGAGTAAATTGATTCGGAGAGGAGCAAGAACAAGGAGATATTCCTAATTGGCTGGATCCAAGTGTACTTTCCAAAGTGGATAGGAAATACGTTTATGGTAACGAGCGTGGTAACGATCGTAAACGTCGTCCAGAAGATCTACGTTCGATTACCCGAACAAATACATCCGCGTTTTTCGCGAGTAACCGCAATGTCGCGTTATATAAAAAATGAAACGTGCAAGATTTGATAAGAAAAAGAAAAAAAAAAAAATATGGTCCTTTGGAAATTGGTTAAATTCAATTGGTTAAGAGTTTTCAACGTCCGTGCAATTTGTCGAGAGAGTTGTAAGAGTAGGAACGAGACGTGAAATTCGATAGGGAAAAAGAATCCTTTGGAAATTTCTACTCGCTCCGGAATAATTTAATTCGTTAATTCATCAAATTTTCACTATCCGTGTAATTGAAATTAAAAAGAAAATTAAATATATCGCGTAAGAACGAAACGTGGAATTCGATGAGAAAATAGTTCCTTTAGAAATTTCGCTCTATTAATTAAATTCCTTTATTACCGCTCGTTTTGTTTCGAACACCCGTGCAATTTGAGAAAATTAAACGTGTCGCGTGTAATATTGTAAAAATGAAACGTTGAATTCGAAAGAGAGGGATCCTTTCGAAATTTCTATTTAAATTAATTAAATTCGAACGCTCGTGCATTCAATACCCGTGCAATTCGAGAAAATTAAACATGTCTCTGTAACATCGTAAAAAAGGAAACGTAGAATTCGACAAGAAAATAGTTCTTTCGAAATTTCTAATATTAGTCATTATCGCACGTATTCATAGCACATAGAGGTATCGCGCGAGATATTACCACCTCGATTTTCATTCCCGTTATTATATACACATAGAGTTGAATGAACATTTCAGTTGAACATTTTATTACTTTTTTTTGTAATTTTTAAGTAGGCGAACACGCGAAGAAATAAATTTCAACTTGAAATATTGAACGGATAATTTTTGAACGTGGAGAATAAGATCGAGAGAATGCGAATCGACAAGCGCGATAAAAGAAATATAACCCTACTTAAAAGAACATTAACGATTTTCTCTTGACGCGTAAAAGAAAACTAGTAACGACTCTCTCTGAAAAATTTTTTGCCATCGATAATAACACCGGCAACAAAACGAGATTGTAGCGTCCGAGACGAGCCACCTTATGTACATGTATATACACGTATACATATTATATAGCTTTCTCTACTATCCGCGAACGCAAAGACCTTGGAAACTTATCCCCTCCCCCAAGCGGATACGACGTTTTACCATATCTCGTGAGAATCCGCGTACCACGGATGAAATTGAACGGAATCTCGCAATGTTCCCGTCTCTCAATCGCGATTCGATCAATTATCCATAACTCTTCGTATATTTGAAAACTCGAAATTCCCTTATTATTTTCCTTCCTCGATGGTGAATCCCGGCGATTTCTGTGTCAAGTTCGAAACGAAACTTGGAAGGGGATTTGTCGAGGGCAGGTGGCGATCGATCGGGCTTCGTCCGCGGGTCGGGGAACAGAGTTTCGTAATATTTTCACGATGCTTCGAACGCCGTGAGCCGTTCCGAGCAACAGAGCCGGCACATCTCGAGAATGTGCCGCTCGGCCCTGCGGCTACGAATTCCGTTACGCGCACTTGTATGGCTCTTCGCCTTCCTCACCCCTCCTCCCCGCTCTGCTCGCCGATAAATTTTTTTTCGCCGGCTGCCATTCTCTCTCTTCTCGATTCTCGACGAAATTACCCACAAAAAATGTACATATATATATATATATATATCCATATTTTCGTCCAAAGCGTTTCTTTCTCTGCGGAGAGGAAAAAAAAGTCGCGCAAAGTGTAGAAAGTCGCATAGAAATTCGTCTAGGATAATCGATGGTTGGACGAAGTAAGGAAAGCATGAGCGTGCGAGGAAAGTCCGATTATGCCGATCAAATCAATGAGGTAGAACCAAGTTGATCGAGAGAAGAATCCTTGCGATCGAACCGTTAAACCGGGCTTCTCCTTCCTCTTTATTCCCCTTATTCCTTCTCGCCGATCTCGATATCGTTCTCTTCCCCTTCCCTTCGAACGAAGGTTGCGTGTCGCAGTCGTTTTCGTCCAGTTTGATTTATCGGGCGCGTGGCGCGGGGAGAAGAAGGGGACTTTCCATTCTCGCGGATCGCGTGAGACAGTAGGAAAGGCAGCAGGGAAGGACCAGATCGCCGCGAAAAAATAACAACCGTGAGGATCGAGGTAGGGGGCGGTTGGCGATCAGCTGATTGACCCGGGGTCAATCTACTTTCTACTCGAAGCTACGGAAATCGATGTGTAGAGAGAGGATGGGAGCACACTTTCTCGCTACGGGAATAGGCGATCGTGACGACGGTGAAAACTCGGGATCCGAGTAGACTCTTAGGAAGACGACTTATCGCCTCGAAAATATTCTTCTCTATCTTCGTGAGAAATAGAATATCTCTGTCCGTCTCATTGTCGAATTCTCAAGATCTAAATTTAAGGAAGAAAGGAAAGGTGAAACGATTCGATCATATCCGTTTTACGAGGGGGCAGATGCGAGGAAACGTGGATAGGCAACAGCGCAACGAAGAAGAGTCGGGAAAACGAACAGTTACAGCGGGAACATGAAAGTTGCGCGTTAAGTTGGTCACGCGAGCTCGGTCGGCGCGTACGTAGTTAAGATCGCTTAATGACCGTCCGCGAGGATGTTCGCGCTACGTGACACAGTTTGCAAGTCTATTCCCCGGCTCGATGACAATCCCCGTGATTTCTGCTTGGCAACCGTGCGTGCGATTCCAATTTCCCTCGAGACATCGGATCCGTGCCGCGAAATCCTCCTCCCTCTCTCTCTCTCTCTCTCTCTCTCTCTCTCTCTCTCTCTTTCCTCCACCGTTCGGAAAAGATTCGCCCGATCGAAACTCGTTACTTACTCGTTCGTCGATCGTCGTCGTCAACTCGCGTCTCTTTCGATATACACGCGTATATATATATATATATATAAATATATATCCCTCGCTTGGACGGATAAACAGTGAAAATTGTTGGTTCACCGGGCGAGATCAAATATATATATATAATATAATATAAATATACATATATATCCCTCGCTTGGACGGATAAACGGTGAAAATTGTTGGTTCACCGGGCGAGATCAAATATATATATATATCCCTCGCTTGGACGGATAAACGGTGAAAATTGTTGTTTCACCGGGCGAGATCAAATATATATATATAATATAATATAAATATACATATATATCCCTCGCTTGGACGGATAAACGGTGAAAATTGTTGGTTCACCGGGCGGGATGAAATTTGGGGAGAAAACTCGTTCGTTGCCACGCGCATACGCGGTAGATCCGTGGTGTACAATGGAACGGGCCTGATTTCAGGGAGTGGCCAGCATTCCGGACTGTAAAGATCAGCGGGCCTGCCACGGATGGAACTGTTCGTCGCCGACGATCCAACGGAAAATGGATGTCGCCAAGAGTGGAACAGAGGAGTTCGTGACGGTGGTGAGCGTGGAGAGCGTTCACCCTCACCCCCCGGAGAATTTCGTGACCGTGCTCTCGATCGGGAGCAGTAGCGGCAGGAAAGAGGAGGGCGAGGCTGGTACGAGGTTGGCCGAGGTTGGGCCCCTCGAGGAGGAGGTGGAGGTGTACAGGCTGCCCGGGGAACGGCTGGGTTTCGGACTGAAGTTCGAAGGCGGGAACAAAACGTCGGAGAGGGTGAGGCGGCTGTTCGTCCAGAGCTGCGCGGAGCAGAGCCCTGCGAGCAGGGCGAGATGCTCTTGGGGCACGTTGGGGGAGGGCGACGAGGTAACTATCTTTAACTTCGACCGTCCTAATAACGCAACAAAGAATCCTTCTCCTTGGAGCTCTTTTCCCCAGGTGCTCTCGATAGACGGCGTGCCGGTCACGCACATGACTCGGCTGGATTGCGTGAGACGATTGAAGGAGTCGCAGCTGGTGATCAAGCTGGTGGTGAGGTGCAGGGGGGCGCTGCGGCCGGAGGTGGTGAGCGCGGAGAAGAAGAGTTGCCCGGAGAGGGACAAGGTGCCGCCCGAGCTGCCCTCGGCGCCCCCGCCCGTCCCCCCGCGGAAGCTGCGGCTGGCCAGGGGGCTGGCGGACGGGGAGGCGAATCCGAACCCGGCCAAGAGATCGTGGAACGGCGGCGGCACGATGCCGAGCAATTCGTCGCAGACTCAAAACGCTTCTCAAAACGGCTCCCCCGCCGCCACCGATCGCCGATCGTCGCCGATCGTCGATCGATCGTCGAGCAAATCGACCTCGTACGAGAGCTGCGAGTCATCGCCGAGAAGCCCCAAGGGATCGTCCCCCCCGAAGGAGCAACGCTCCCCGGAGCTGGCGAGATCGGCGGTGAAACAGGTGATTGATGACCAATATCGTATTTCGCCTCCTTTTCTCGATCGAGGATCGATAAGATCGGGCGACGTTTGTCCAGGAACCACCCCCGGAGGCGATGGTGTACGTGGACGCGAGGTCGCAGTGCGGTTCGACGCACGGGAGCACGTCGGACGACACGGGCAGCTCGATGTCGACGGTGATCGATCGATTCTCGACCTCGGACCGGGTCTCGACCATCTCGACCGCCTCCTCCGCGGCTTCGACGGCATCCGAGCAACCGAGCGACTTCTCCCGCCTCGACCAAGATCTCGAGCGAGCCTCGAAGCCGTCCGTCTGCCCGTTCGAGGGTATCGACGACTATTACTCGTCGAACCCGCCCGATTACTTGCTCCGCCGTTTGGCGAGCTCCGAGGCCGTGACCCACGTGGAGTCGCGGGGCGAGGTGGAGAAGATCACGGCCGTGGTGGCGCCCAACACTGTGTTGATCGAGGAGACGATCACGTTTCAACCGCCGTTGAGCTTCCAGGACGCGCCGTTGAGTTACGGGCACGAGGCGAGGCCCGATCTCTTCTACGCCCCCGATCTTGCCGCCGACTCGACCACCCATTTCAGGCCGATCAAGGACGACGTGGAGCTGGTCGAGCGCGTGAACAGCGTCCACGAGGGGGCGGACACCCTGGAGAGGAAACGCAAGGAAACGGACAGGACGCCGCCGCCTCTCCCCGCGAGGAACCACGTCAACAGGATCGCGGTCAATCGGTCGTCGAGCAACGATCGCTCCTCCGTCGACTCGTCTACCGGTGCAAACGAGGCCCGCCAACAGGAAGCGCCTCTCCTCCCCCCGAAACCCTTGCCGAGGAGGGACGTGAAGATCAGGAGGAAGAGACCACCCCCGCCCCCGCCCCCGCCACCCACGATCCTCCCGAGGATCGAGGCGAAACCCTCCTCCGCCTGCCCGTTGCCCGAGTCCCGGCAAACGAGCCTCGAGAACGAGAACGAGGACGAGAACGGGGACGGGGACGAGTTGTGCCTGGAGACGATCGCTGCCGACCGGCTCGAGGAGGCGAGAGCGTGCCTTCTCCTCGACGAGAAGAGGGCGGAACAGGAGGGGTACGGGTCGAGGCGGCCGTTGAACGGCGACGAGAGGAGAAGGAACGAGGAGACGGACGACACCGAGTCAGTGGAGAGCTACGAGGTCGGGGAGGGGTGGAACAGGACGAACAAGGTGTTGGAGATAATCGAGATAAGGAAGGCGAGGGCGTTCCCCCCCCGAAGGGTGGCCACCGTTCTCTCGGCGAGCGAGAACGGGGGGGAGGGGGAGGGGGTGGTGAGGTGCGGGGGTGGAGGGGACGGCGCGAAGGGCGAGAGGGTCGATCCCTTCGATTGGCGGCAGGAGGAGGCGGGAGTCGGAGACGCGGTGGACGAGTCGGACGAGGAACAGGTGACGAAGTTCAACGAGCCCGTGGACGAATTGGGGGAGGCGGGGAGGGGGGGGGCGGTCGGGCGACGGGAGAGCGAGGAGAGCGAGGCCTCGTTCCGCTCGTGCGCCGACCTGGCCTCGGCCGATCGCGGCCGGGAAGCGGTCACGGAGGACGAGGATGACACGAGCGAGGAGAGCGACGAAGGGGATTACTACTGGCAGAGCAACTTGGCCACGATCGGCGAGGAGGAGGAGACCAACTCTCTGGAATACGGCATCCCGTGAGTTCTACATTCGGGAGGAATGGAGAAATGTCGTGTACGAGGATGTTTCCAGCGATCTCGAAAAGAGAGGGAACAAGAGGATGCCGTTCGATTTCGCGAATTATCGATGTGTAACGTCTCGAGTAGTACGGATACGCGAAGCGCGCTCTTATCTCCTATTTTCACATTAGGGAAACTGGAGCGAAGGGATAATAAATTTACACAATTCGAAACTATTACGTCTATTACGGTCTAGACGGTGAGGCGCGGTTCCCCTAATTGTAAGCAAATTATACATCGTTTCCGCCTGACATTTCTCCGAGCTTATATTAAGATTGAGATACAACGAAACGCTACTTGTATTTATTATTTGTAACGCGCCTCGAGCCACACCCCGAGAGACTAGATTTACGAGCTGTTCCCATTTTTTTCCAAGTTATTATACCAACGATAGAGAAAAGGGGAACAAATCGAATGTTTAATCTCCAACCGCGATTTTGATTTCAAGGAAGGAACGGTTGACGTCGATGGCGACAATCGATATTGATAATGCATCGCAGATATTCGGTTAACATCCGTGTGTTTTTTGTTGCAAAGGAACAAAGAGGCGGCCGAGAGCGAGGCGATCGAAGCGGAGGGGAAAACTGAGCGACAAGAATCGGCGGGCAAGGGAGACGCGTTCGACGCAAATGGTGAGTAAGATCGCGTCTTCGTTATTCCTCAACCGTAAACGATATAAATACGCTCGACGAATTAATACTTCGAGGTCAATGCGAACGATTAATACCTGGCCCGAGGATTTAAACCTTCTGTCGAATCGGTCGATCATTTCCCCCTCTCAAACCCTTTCTTTCCATCGAGCCGCGTAATTAGTAAGAAAGAAGCAATTAACTCAATTGATCTTTTCTCGATATCTAATCTATATTTATAATCCTAGCATCAGTTCAACGATTAATTAAAATAATTTTATTCCGAAATCCCTATTTTGGATTTTGGCGTGTCCAGAATCGCGAGAACGGCGACATCGTCGCGTGGTTTTCGAAACCGGCTCGGGAGAGGAGGGGAGGAAAGGAAGGAATTCGGAGCGTGGAGAGAGTGCGCGCACGCCCACGCGCCGGAACCCTCCCTCGGTCGCGCTTCATAAAGGTTAAATCTCTCGGTGCGTTACGCGCCGCTAAGGTTCTCCGGTTTCGCCGAGAGCGTTGGAAACGGCGGCTCGAACGGGAGAGACAAAGGCGTGTTCGTTCGTTCGCCTGGGCGCACCCTCGACGCGAGGAATTCCTGCGCCGCGCGGATCCGCGCTACCGCTCATTGTCCGCCAAAGATGGATCGCGGACTTTGCGTGGGAAATCTCCCCACTCTATCTAGAGTCCATTTCGAATTCGTTTGAATTGATGGCACGTGCGTTTATTTATTATTTATTATTTGTTCCTTATGAAGAATAGTTTAGTTATTTATTCATTTGTTTCAAGTGAATTATTTATCACGTTGACTGCCGCGTCATCCATATTGTTTATGAACGATCTTTGTAGACATTTGGGAAGATATTCTGCAGGGGGTAATAAAAGTATTAAATTGTTATAAAAATAATGTAAAATTTTAAATTGATCCGGACAATCTGGACAAAAAGTTGTTTTTAAATTTCTTCGTTTGATTGGTCTCTTTTATCCGAATAACATAATTTGCATGCAGTCTAATACTTATGTCAGAATATATTTTTTCGAATTATTATATTTTGACTCCGTTTTGACAAGGTTTGCTTGTACTTCTAATTTTAGGGTATCGCGAGTCTCACGGTGATGCGACAATTAGTTTATGAACGTATTTAATAGACACACGAATAATTTATATACAATTCACAACTAAGAAGTATATTTGTTACAATTAGTCATTCATATTATCCAAATTAAAATATCCAAAATATACTATATAAATCAGTATTACTATTCAATATTATTGTCAATACAATTACTATTATCAATATTTCTAACAGTAATGGTGGAAACAAATGATGCGAGACGTTACTAAAATATCGGTAAAAGTATTAAAGTACACTTGATATAGCGACATGCGTGGCTGAAGGAGATTTAGAATATACACGCGCGGCAGTCAACGTGTTATAGCGTCGAGAATCTCGCTTCGGAGCGCGTGCTGCTATCTGCGCGAGGTTTTAATTCGACGCCCCTATTGTGGAAAACGCGCACGCGCGGTAATTGGCGGGCTCGGTGTACCGGATGTCGATTACCGTGGGCGTACGCGCGATCATTTACACTCGCCGCATTATTACACTCGTATCCCCTGCGCCCGGTACTCGCAGCACGGTTTTCGCGCCAATGTCTCGTGCTCGAACCACTACTCGTCGAAATAAGTAGCTTTATAATTCAAAAGATCGAATCTGGGAGGAAAGAATTCGGAAGAAATCTACGTTCGAATTCGTTTATTTTCTTGACACGCGAGGCTGAATAAAATTTCGAAACGACGGAGGAGGAGGGAACTCGAAAAGAAAAGGGGAAAACTCGTTTCGATCGGCCACCACTCCCCGAAAGTCGGTGTCGGTGGGTGTGAGAAACGGAACCGGAGTCGAAGAATATAACTCGAGAAGCAGTCGGGAAAAGGCGAGGCGAAGGTATGCCGGGGGGATGTAGCCAGGAGGTAGCTAGTTTGCTTAACAGCTAACCAAGAGCCCGGCCTTTTAGAATCCTATTAAATACGAGATTTTACGACTTTAACGTCGGGGAATAAAAAACCTACGTAGAAACTCGGCCGAGCTGCATCGCTCTCAACTCGAGGCCTTTACAGAAACAGGCTCGAAATCCGCATTGACATTCCGTTCCTTCCTTCCTTCCTTCCTTCCCGACCTTGCCGCTCCTTAAACAGAGCCCCTTTCCATCCAAACGCACCTTCGTATGCTCGAGAAATCCCCTCGAAATCTCTCTCAACCGAAATCGTTACTCGATCAGTGGAGAGAAAGAGAGAGGACGGAAGAAGATACACATCCTGTCCACTAGGTGGACCTTCAAGAAGAGAGAGAGAGAGAGAGAGAGAGAGAGACTGTTGTTGTTGTTGTTGCGAGAGGTTAGTCTATAGCATGGGCACGGTAGTCACAACAATATGGCGGTCGCGCATACCGGTGGCTCCGTCTCGTTTCTCTCGAGCAGTGGCTGACCGCGCTCAAGGTCCCCCATTCCCCCTTAATCGCCTTCCTTTTCGAGATCTTTCACTTCGCCTCGCTCCCGATCGAAGGAATCGCGATCCAACAATTGCTCCTACAACAATGGATTTCGATTCGTTTACCTCTCTCTCGTTCACTCGACTCGATTCCGCGCGGTGTCCGAACGAGAGACTCTCTCGAGTTTACTCTTACGTTGGTGAGAAGATCTCGACGCGGTGGCCGTGGCGATGGAAAACGAAGGTCGAAAGGTTAGAACGTATCGATGAGCTCGATTTAAACAGAGCTCGTAAAGAGGGGGAGGGAATCACGAAAGACGAATTAGTCGAGTCGACGATTCGAGGAAAGCGAGATACGGACGATAAATCGGAGCGAGATGGAGAATTATTAAAGCGAGATAGGCGCAGGGTGATCGATGCCCGCGAACCGAGTCCGATTCCCTTCTTTCTTTCCACGGAACTGAAATTAGATCGTTCGGTTTTATTTATCGCGCCCCCCGCTCCGATAAATCACGTTACCCGCGACGATAGATGGACGAGCTCCTCGAGGAGGATATCTCTCTCCGTCTCTCTCTCTCTCTCTCTCTCTCTCTCTCTCTCTCTCTCTCTCCGGGGAAACCGGTTCGTCTCCATCGGGTTTAAAAACCGTTTAGTCGAAACGATCGTTGTTTGTAACTCGCATAATCGAAAGACGGGATTACGTCGATAAACACGGCGAGAGATCGTTTCTCGCGCGATTTATCGCGGCCGATTTTCACTCTCCAAAATATCCCCCTCCTTCCCTAATATATTTTTCTCCCGACCGAACACACTTTTACGATCGTTCCATATTTCGTCTCACGAATATAAATTCGTGGAGACGATTTCGATGAGATAAACTCGAAGAAAACAAGCTCGTTTCGCGGGACGTTTGAAAGAAGAAGAAGAAGAAGGAGGAGGAGGAGGATCCATCCCGGAAATATGGCGTCCTCGCGACGATATCTCGCGACGATAGATAAGCGGGGAATTCATCGTGGCGAGAGGGGAGGAGGGGGGAGAGGAGGAATGGCACTCGTCATTGGAAAGGATCCGTGCGCGGCGACATTCCAACGGATCGAGGGTCCAACCCGGAAGGTCGACATCGATCGATTCGATCGCCTTCGATAAGTCATACGTACTCGTGCAAACACGCGGATTCGAAAAACCGCGTTCCAACGAGTACTAACTTCATCACACCCCGCATCAGTCGCGGCGAATCGACGGGAGTAATTCCGACGGGAGATGGTTGCTCTATTTTCATCCATTGTATATATATATATATATATATCGTATAACGAACGGTCTCGACGCTTCGAAACACCGAGCACGATCCAATTAGTATGGGCGACGGAGCGACACGGGCTTCTCTTTGAAACTGAATGCACGATCGACGCGTGGCGGCCTCGGACAGGCATCGGCAACACCTCATGCGCCACAGGTGTTCACCGCACACTTCCCGCGCGCATACTGATCCGACTGATGCCACGCGCGCATCCCTATCTCGAAATAACGCGAGCGAAAATTCGTAAGGATCGCGCGGTTAAATTTTCGGGGAGGGGAACGTTCACGAACGTCGCGAATTTCTTCGAGGCGGGAAACGTTCCCTTCACGGTTACGCGGTTTCGACCGATTGTCGAGGAATCCAGAACAACCGCGATCGAGAATTTTTCCCCGACAAAGGAATGTCCTTTATAACGGCGACGCTCGCTCGAGTCGGTCGCCGGGGAAAGATCGGTTTCTTTTGCTCGCGAGGACGACGAGTTATCGGCGATAACCTTCGGCCGGGCGGGAACGCTTTATCGGCGTGGAAAAATGATTGGTTGGCCGATCGGTGCTCGAAGCGGTTGGGGCGATACACACAACAAACGCGATCGTGGGCCCGTTCGCGCCTTCGATCTGACCTCGGATAAACCGAAGGATAAACGTAACGATATTTATTTCGCGACTGTAACAGCTTTGTTTGTTATCTCGGATAAACGGAGGTTATATATACGATGGGATCTCGTTCGCGGAGATCCCGTTCGACTGGACGTGGTGGCTCTAATTGGAAGAGAGCTGCGCTCGTTCGGTCCTCCTCCTCCTCCTCCTCCTCCTCTGAAGGAGGAGGAATTCGTGCAGAGGCCGCGCAGATTCTCGCATTCCGCCAAGATACCAGAGGTATCCGGCTTCTTCTCTCGTCCCTTTCCCTCCTGCATTTATAGAGCTGCTCGCGCCAAGTTTGAACTCCTACCATGCTCCCCCGTTCGCGAAACGGAAGAAGCTCGACCGGTTTCTTTTTTGTCGCGCCCGCTCCCGCAATCGAGCGAGCAACCGCGCTCCTCTAGAGCGCGACCACCGTGGAAGGATCGATCCAGCGGTTCCTAGCCTGCATATTCGAGCGGAACGAATTATCGAGACTTTCGTTTTCAACTCGTTTCCTTTCTCGAGCCGTGACCCGTGTTTCGGATGAAACGCGGACGAAACGAGATTTTTCCCCTCGAAGCGCTTCTCCACACGCTCCGCTTTC